AAAACAAATGCAACACCATGGACTTATAAGCCTTTTGGGTTTAACAAAAACTTGTGCATTTGTCGGTTCCACCGATTCCTCACACTACGGAAAAAAAAAAAAGGTTAAATAGCGATGGATTAATTACTATCACTAAATAGAAAGCAATTAACGATAAGATAGTATCTCGTTCGAACCATCAACGAAATAAAGATGGATTAACGATGGATTAGTGATTGATTATTAGTGAGGGACATCATTATGTCGTGCGGTAAAATATTTTCGTGGGTTTTAGAGATGGATTAGTGATGAAGTTGCTAAAGAAAATAGCGACGGAGTTGCAAATCTATTGCTATTTTCGATGTCTATAGTCAGCAAAGGAATATCCATCATTAAAACTCATATCCCTCGCAAATTAGAGACGGATATGCGAGAAAAGCTTAGACAGATTTTTTGAAAGGCAAAACCTCCAAATTAGAAACAGATTAGTGACGGATCCCTAAGTCTATCATTATATGTAAAAAAATATGTCGTCAAATTTTATTAGTTAGTCGCTCATTTTTCATTAGAATAATGACGAACACTTACATCCGTCGCTAGGTAGCAGTCGATCGGAGAAAAGATCGTGCTCGTCACTATTTTTCAATCCCTAATTAAATCACTTTCTTCTTCCTCTTCTCCCATTTTCTTCTCCCTCCCTTCTCCAAACAACAACCATTGATCTCCCCCTTTCCAAACCATCACCAAGCTCCCTCCCTTGATTTAATTTGTTGTTTGTCGGATCATTTAGAGTATTTGTTGATTAATTTAATTTGTTCTTTGTCCGATCATTTGGAGTATCTCCTCTTGTAGCGCATATATACTACGAGAATTTATTCTCTAGGAAAATCATTGTCAAAAAAGAACATAAACTATAAAAATAAACAAAAGGAGCAAATTTGGCCCGATGTAAAAGGCATAAATAAATAATAGATTCAATTTTTGTATTTTTATTTATGAATTATATATATATACAAATATTTATCTTCTATAATTTTATCATAAATACATAAATATGTTAAAAATATCAAAAACTAAAAACCTCATCCGACCCAAGTTTGATGAGCCCAAATTTGACACGGGTGATATAGAACCCAACTCACTTGGAAACGGAACCTTATCAAACAACATTCTAACACGACGCCAAACTCGCCACTCTAATCAAAATCGCATGGCAGAAATTTTCCCATGATCAGAAGGCATAAGAGAAATGCTAAAAGCATTTTAACAATATGGGTTGTTCTGTTGGTCTGTTAAATCAAAATTGTGCTATTTTTTTTAGTTTATCATAAAGTTTGTTTTACCTTGTTCTATGTACTATAAAAATATATTTTTTATTATATAAAAATCAAACAAACCAAAATTATTGATATTTAAATCTGTTTTATTAAAAAAATTTACAGAACCGTTAAACTGTTCTTACTTGGCATCAAAATTGTGTTACTAAGACAAGGATATACTTTCTCCCTTTACAATCGTTTTAACATCAGAAGACCATCAATGAAGCGTCAAGTGTTGATGGGATATAAAATAGATTGTTTTTCATATTATTATCCCAGGTTCAAATCTAAAGAAAAATTTACAAGAAATTTTTTTTATAAATGCACCCATTTGAATAGAAATGATACGTATCAATAAGAAGTTTAATCTCAATATATGAAAACTGGTTTAAAACTTTACCTTGGAAATACTTTATTTGTTGAAAATAAGAGATAAAGAAAAAAATTTAAAAACATTTCAACACAAAAAAATATGTAAACGTTTCTACTTAAAATTCTGCATCTGTGTGAAATATCCAATAATTTTTGTCAGGCCAAAAACATCATAATTTCACATTTCACATAAAATGTGCATTTGAATGATAAAACACGTTTCGTGAAATCAAACTATGATAACGTTTTTATAACCAACAATACCTCATATGAATCGAATTGATCGATCCATATCATTAGCGTCACACACATTTTTTTCAGTCAACCCTACTTTCATTTCTTGCCATTTACATATCATTATGAATTAATAACCACTTATTAGTTGCTTAAACTCTTAAAATACCTTTGACAACAAGAAAAAACAGTACAATATATTTTTGTATAATCAGGTAAATGTCAAATTAGTTGTTATATTCTAAAATAAATCTAATATGTTTTTGTATTTTAAGTGAATTTTTAATATATTAGTTTGATGATATTTTTCAATAAGATTATAAAAAAATTTCACGTGATTTGTAAAGGATCAATTTTATATATATAAAAAATATTATACATAAAATTAAAATAAAGCCATGTATTTTACTATTTATTCACTATTTGAAACACTATTCATCAAGGCTTATTTCATTATTCATTCGGACTCGGATACACTATTTCTTTCACTATGCGGTGACATTTTTATAATTTTCAAACATTTTTAATATATTTATTATGAAAGTTTTCCTAACATTGCACTTTGGCCTTTTTTTTTTTAAATATGATTTTTTCAATTCATGAAATATTTTTTGTTTGGTTTTGGTTCCTCTTTTTTGTTTCATTTTTTGTCACTTTGGTCCTTTTTTTCTTTGATTTTTTTTTAATAAAAAATTTTAAGGCAAAAAAATGTTTAAAATACATTACAAAATAAATTTTTAGCTAAGAATTCATTGGTTTTGACATTCTTTATACTATTAAATTATTTTTTTGATAAACAATCTATGAAAAATATAAAGAATAATCAATCAAATACAAAGTTTGATATATTTTGATAGACACGCAATATAACACAATATATTAAAATGAAATAATTTTTAAAAATAATTTTATGCATTTTGTCCGATCCGCAGTGTAATGCATATAAAAAATCTAATCACTAACTAAACGAGCATGTAAAATTCACCATCCACCACCGCCACCTCTTCCATCGTGATGTCACTAGCAAGTACCAAACTCATTTTTATTGGGTGAAAAAGTTATGGATATTAGGTGCTAGGTTTGAATTTTGATGATCAAAAGATATTTGATGTGATGGCTGGCCCGATAATGAAAGAAAAGTGGATAAGGCTAGTAGGTTTAGATAAGGGTGAGCATTGTTCGGAAATAAAAAAATCGAACTAAACCAAATCGAATTAGTAATTTTAGTTTAGTTTTACAAAAACAAATTGAAAACCAAAATTATTTTGGTTCGATTCGTTTTTTTTTTTAAATTCAAACCGAATTAGTTTTTTTTTAACACACACCCAAGTTTTTTTTTAAAATAAAAATAAAAGAGACATCTATAGGTTTAACCAAAAAAACAATAGCTTTAATAAATTTTTTTACTTAAAATAAAAATATTTTTCATTAATTATTTATTCAAACGAGATAAAAAAAAAGACCGTGATAAAGTAATTCTTTATAAATACATAAGTTTATGTGTGGGTGAATCCTAAAACCTCATGGAGAAGAAATTATCTCCTTGTATTAAAATTGAAACCAACATATCCCTTAAAAAAAATTGACCCCAAGCCGCTGCATTTATAATAATAGTATTAATAACAACTAACAATAATAATTGTTTCACTCTTTTTATGCTTATACCAAACATAAATTAAAAATTGGATTTTTTAGATTATTCAACAATAAAATAAGTATAAAATAAGGAGATTCAAAAAATAGAAAATTAACAAAAAATCAATTGTAGCGTGATTGAAAAAATAATGAGAAACCCAACCAATCTAATTTATAATATATATAGAAACAAATTTAGTATAGAAATAATAATAATAATCTTACGTAAATTTCTTATAAAATTAAATGTGAAATATGCAATCTTTAATTATGTTGTAGCTCAATAAATAGAGAAATGTATATTTATTAATTGGAGTATAAGATTCAAATGACGGATGATATTTATGGTAACGAGTTGTAAAGTTAAATTGTTATAAAAGTCATGATGTGTGGTTATTAAGTGAAGTAACTTATATCTTTATAAATTGTAATCCAAACAAATGATCCCCTTCAAAAATAAATGAAAAAAAATCAATCACTATTGAAAATATTACTCAATTAATATGTAAGTTTGAAAACATTAATTCTGTTTTTAGAAGAAAAATGTAAAAAAAAAATACCGGTTTTTATCCGAAAACCGAACCGAAAAATTTGCTTTTTTAATCGAAAAACCAAAATTCAATTCGGTTCGGTTCAGTTTGGCTTTGGTTTTTTTTTTAATCAATTCGGTTAACCGAAAATTGAAAAAAATAAAAAACAGATCGAAAAACTAAATGATCACCTTTAGGTTTAGAACTTGATATTGCTTTTAAAAAAGAGATAAATGTAGAAAATGTCAGTTTTAAAGTGTAGGAATTTAGATGGATAGGTTATTGCTGGAAAAACTGAGGTTTTAGGGTAATTGAAAAAAAAAAGAAAACAAAATTAGTTATTTTGGGATTATTTTGCCCCTTTTTTTTTGGCGGAGAAAGCAGAAGAAGAATGGATGAAGGTGAAGGAGAGAGAGGGAAAAAAAAAAATTTGATGCTTGTCTTCCAGACACCGCTCAAGATGAATGAAATCTTAGTAATGGATTGTTAACTTGTACATATCAATTCATCAAAGAGGTATGTTTTTAAAAATAAAACTTATCATGTATTGATATTATTTTTAATAATTTTATCTAAAAATATAAAAAAATAAATTAAAAATTGCTTTAAAATACATGCACATAATTAATTTTAGTATATAAATACAGATTGTGACATTTTTTCTATAGATAAAGCAATTGAGAAATTTTATAATATTTAAAAAATAATTAGAATAAGTTATTTTATAAAAATATAGATATAAAAAAAATTAAATAAAAATAATTTTTTTTATTACTTTTAATGAATTGAGATATAATTTTTTTGATGTATTTATTGTTATCATTATTATTATTTAAACGAAGTGAGCTCATAAAATAATTATTGTTGACCGGTTACGGTTCCAGCAGTAAAAAATTTCTCCGAGCTAAGTTATCACTACCGCCATGCGTGCATGAAGAAGCTAAAACCCCTGCCCCAAGCTCTCTCCTTCTCTCAATTCAAAACCCTAATCTCTCAAAAAGATTACCCACAAGCTCTCAAATTCTCACTCACTCTGCCATCACCTCTCCTCACTGACCAAACCTACTCTCTCTTCATCAAATCAGGTCACATTCTTGGCCCTTACTTATCCACAACTCTCATTTCTCACTTCTCAAAACTTGAAAACAACAACAACAACAATATCTCTCGCTCTCTTTCTTTCTTTTTAGACACACAAAATCCTGATATCATCACTTACAATGCAATCATTTCTGGGTTTGCAAGGGCTAATTATTCTAGAACTGTTTTGGGGCTTTTTAATCAGTTAAGACATGTGGGATTGGTGCCTGATGTGTTTACTTTGAGTTCTTTAGTTAAAGGGTGTCTGAGTTTGAGAGAGAATTTTGTTTCTCATGCGGTTTGTTTAAGGCTTGGGTTTGGGTCTAAAAGTTTTGTAGTTAGTGGGTTAATTGAGAATTATTCAAAAAATGGGGATTTGGGGTCAGCTGAGAGGTGTTTTAAGGAGTGTTTGGACTTGGATAATGTGGTTTGTACTGTTATGGTTAATGGGTATGTCTGGAATGAGGAGTTTGAGAAGGGCAAACAGGTTTTTGTTGAAATGAGAGGGTCGGGTTTGGAGTTAAATGCATTTAGCTTAACTGGTGTGATTGGGGCTCTCTTTGATGTAAGAGAAGGGGAGCAAATTCATGGTTTTGGTGTAAAGATGGGATTTTTATGTGGTTCTTCAATGTATTTTAGCAATGCTGTTATGAGTATGTACGCTAGGTGTGGAAGTGAGGTTGATGCGATTAAGGTGTTTGATGAAATTGCTGAACCAGATATTGTTTCTTGGACTGAGAGGATAGGAACTGCTTCTGATGGTGATGAAGCTTTGGAATTGTTTAGAATTTTTCTTTCCTTAGGTTTGGATGTGAATGAGTATACATTGATTAATGTTTTGTCAATGATTGGAGGAGTGAAGTTTTTGAATGCAGGGAAACAAATTCAAGCATTTTGTCATAAGACAGGGTATTTCCAGGTGGTGGCTGTCGGTAATGCGTTGGTGTCATTGTATGGGAAGTGTGGGCAAATTTGTGATGCTTGGCGTGTTTTTTATAACATGATTTTTCGAGATTCTGTTTCTTGGAATTCCCTGATTTCTGCGTGTTCTGAGAATGGATTTGTTAATCAAGCTCTAGAGGCGTTCTATCAGATGCGTGAGCTGTCACTGCAGCCTACTATACATACTCTGGCTAGCATTCTTGATGCAGTATCCAACTCGAACTATACAAAGCTGGTGATACAAATCCATTCACTTGTTATTAAATGTGGATTCATGTTGGATGTTTCTATGCTTTCTTGCTTGATAACAGCATATGGGAGATGCAACAGTATGGATGAATCAAAAAAGGTGTTTGCTGAGATTGATAAGGTAAACTTGGTTCATCTGAATACAATGATAACTACTTTGGTCCATGCTGGCTGTTATCCTGATGCTTTGGCATTGTTTCAAACCACATGGAGCTCATACCATAAAGTGGACAGTAGAACTTTCAGCGTTATCCTTAAAGCTTGTAGTGCTATAACAGATATGCAACTGGGAAGAGCAGTTCATTCCCTAATATTAAAAACTGGATTTGATCAAGATAGCTTTGTTGAAAGTTCTGTTATTGACATTTATTGCAAGTGTGGAAGCATAGGACAAGCAGAGAAAGTGTTCAGGAGTTCATCTAAGAACAATTTGGCTGCTTGGAATGCCATGATGATGGGATATGCCCAGCATGGTTGTTATCAAGTAGTCTTTGATCTCTTTAACGAGATGTCTCAATTTGGAATAGAACCTGATGAGATAACTTATCTTGGTGTTCTTAGTTCATGCTGCCATGGAGGGCTCGTGAAACAAGCACGATACTACTTAGACTCTATGTTTGAACTTCATGGAATTTTTCCACATTTAGAACATTATGCCTGCATGATTGATCTGCTCGGTCGAGTTGGACTCCTGGAAGATGCAAAGAAAACTATAGATCGCATGCCTCTTGAACCTGATGTCCATATATGGCAGTGTCTTTTATCTGCCTGCAACATCCATGGACATGTTGAGCTGGGAAGAGTTGCAGCAAGCAAAGTTCTTGAGATGCATCCTGAAAACAATTCTGCTTATATTCTTCTATCAAATCTTTATGCTTCTGTTGGTATGTGGAATGCTGTTGGAAGATTAAGAAAAGAAATGAAAGAAAAAATTCCCCACAAGGAACCTGGTTCTAGTTGGATTCAAGTAAGTAGATTAATTCATAAATTTTTTGTTAATGATACTTCACATCCTCAAAGTAAAGAAATAAATGAGGAGTTAATAAGACTGTATGAACATATGATAGCGTCCCCAGAATTGGAACAAGATGGTGTTTCTCTATGGATCTATGGACCGTGAGGCGTAGAAAATTCTCTTGATTTCCATGGGAGGCAACAAATACCTCTTGGTTTTTTCATTTAAGAAGTGAACTATTACTTTTATCCAATCAGGAGTACTCAATTATAGCTTCTATGGTATTTTCGCTCGATCCCTTATGTATTTGAAATGAGTACTGAAATCCTCCCTATCACTCATGTCAACTCTTCCGGAATACATTCAATATTTCTTCATATTGATCAATGAACGAGTGGTTCCAGTTGTTCTGAGGTACATGTTAAAGTTACAGCATGGGAGATCTACATAATGTCCTTAGTGTTAATTAGAGCCGGGTGCATTATGCTGCTCATCAAAAAATAAAAATTGGGACAGGACATTGATATATGGCTCAGACCCTTCTGTCCTGGTATCCTGGAGGTTAGTTTAGTATGGTAATTCCGATCTTTCTGTTATTTGATGTAAAGGATAAGATTAACTAGTCAGACACTTTGCAAACATTTTCTTGTAATTCTTGTCTCTTACCACTTTGTTTTACTTGCTTACTAATTTGAGTTAATGTCTCTCCATTGTGTCCATGTTGATGAACATTTTTTTCCCTTAAAAATTCATTGATTCTGATCTTTTTCTGCGTAAGCTGAGTTAGCAAATGTTAGCCAGATTATTTCTGTGACAGGACCTTGCTGGTAAGCTGTCAGGGAACTTAAAATACGTGCTCAAAAGCTATGTCAAGTGTTTTGATAGATTGCTTTGCATTACGTTCTAGCGGTCCCTTAACATTTGAGATTCAATGGTTTTATTATTCTGCAAATTATATACCCTAGTTCAAATCTAACAGTGGAAGGTTTAGTGTTCCTGGCATCATATTTCTCCTGATTTTAGTGTTTATCCTGCTACAAATTGTTATGCATATGCTCTATGCTATCAAAAATCAGAATTATTTCAGACACCTTCAAGAATATGTTTAAAAATACTGTTCTTTTAGAATGGAAATGCTATGCAAATAACGGGGTTGATTATGTTTATGAAAAGCTGTTTTATCATCAATCAAATATCAACCTATTATCTCAATTCCCTTTGGAAACAAACTATCTAAGAGACTATGATGTGAAACTGTCTAACTCAATGGCCAGAGAATCCATGGATGAAAGCTAAATCGGTTCCATAAAAAATGATATTAGACGTCACACTCTAGAAAATAAGCGATTGGGAGTGATATGTCTACATGAACGCCACAAGAATGTTGAATTCTTGATAAGTTCGGATTGATTCTTGAAAGAACTTAGGAGAGAATTTTCTCTCATAAAATATTTCAATTTTGATTAAAAGATTTGATGATCTTGAAAAATTACAAGTTTTTGCCTATAAAATGTTGCTGGACCCAAAATAGATCAAGACATTAATGTTTGCCTAAGATCCAACAAAAGCAACAAAATATGCTTAACGAAGACTCCTCAAATTTTCAAAAACTACATGAAATTCTACGACCATTATTCTAGTCCAAAGTTTGAAGCACCAACCATGAATTTGCATATTTAATTTCTTGATCAATTCGGTGAGCATCAACAAACAATAGCAGTAATAAGTCACGACCCAATCATGCATCTCTCTCTTGTCCCAAAAGACACCAGCAAGACCTGGCCATGATTCAACCCATCTTAATCCAACTTTGATTTAGTTTTAATTCATGTTGTGGGCTCATAACATTCAGCCCAATAGCTTGGATCATGTTCATCAAGCCTAGTTCCTTGGAAGCTTGAGTAGCCCATGTGTCTTAAATCAGCCCATTTAAAGCCTCTTTAAACTTTTTGGCCATCACTAATTATTGGACCTCAATGGATGCTCAATGGGTCAACACCCTTTTGGTTCTCATCACCTCCCCTTTTTTCCTACTCGCACACCCAAGGTTTTTAATAGAATTAGTTTGTTAGGATTTGAACTCGTGACCTCTCGTAAGAGACCACTATCATGAGTTACAAGCTCTTTGGTCATCATCCCCTCTCTCCTCGAAAGTATTCATCTTTGAATCATCACTCGTATTAAACGAAGAAAGATGAGATACATTAAAAGTTGAACTCGCATTATACTTACTTGAAAGTTCTAACTTATAAGCATTATCATTAACTCATGCCACCACTCGAAACGAACCATCACCTTGGGGTTGCAATTTAAAACGTTGTTGAGCTAAAAATCTTTACGTGCGTACGTGCATCCAAACCCAATCACCTAGTTCAAAAAAATTTTTTTGCACCCTTTATTAGCAGAAGATGCATAATTTTTTGATTTGTTTTTCAATTTGTCGTTGAACTTTCTCTTGCAACTTTTTCACAAACTCGGCTTTACGCTCGCTATCTAAACTAGCATTCTCTTGCTTACTTCCCCACTTAAAACCCACACTCCTTTTAACTATCCGAATTAAAGGTGATGCAATGGTGCTAAAGTCTTTAATAAACAGTTTGTAAAAACCAAACTTAATCATGAAAAATTCGCATATCATTGATTGACTTAGGTCGTGGCTAATCACAAATTGCCCTAACCTTTTCCTTTTCAACATTAATACCATTAGAACTCACAATATAAACAAGAAATATTATATGATCAGTATAAAAAGAACACTTATAAAGATTGGCATATAATTTCTTCGCATGCAAAACACTTAAAATAGAACCTAATTAATCAAGATGTTCATCTAATTTTTTGCTATAGATCAAGATATTGTCAAAATATTCTACAACAAACTTTCTAATAAAAATATGAAAAAAATGATTCGTCGATCACATAAAAGTGTTCGGTTGATTTATGAGACCAAATAGCATAACTAACTACTTATACAAATCATACTTAGTCTTAAAAGCAGCTTTTCCATTCATCTTCCTCTTTTTTCCTAGTTTGATGATAACCATTTTTTAAATCAATCTTAGAAAATGCAAAAGAACCATGCAATTCATCTAACATATCATCTAACCTAGGAATAGGATGATGATACTTTACATTGATTTTGTTGATCGCTTGACAATCGAAGCACGCCCTTCAAGTTCCATCTTTCTTTGGTCGAAGTAACACCAAAATTGTATAAGGACTCATGCGTTCTCTCACGTATCCTTTTTTTCATCAACTCCTTTTCATGTCTTTGTAATTCCTTTGTTTCCTCAAAGATTGCTCTTATAGGCCGATTGATTTGGAATTGCTTCATTGGGAATGAAATTAATTTGGTACTTTATTCTCCTTAAAGGTGGCAAACCACTAGGATCCTCGTAGAAAGCATCATCGAATTTCTACAAATAAGAAACAATAACCCTAGGCAAAACAAGATCAAGTGTGTTAGTACTAAAACAATAATTGATCGTTTTGAATAAAAAGCCCTCTTCACATACCTTTTTTTACATATAAACTCTCTTTTTCTCTCTCTTTATCTTGTGACTTCTTTTTTCTTTTTCAATAACTTTTCTTTTTCTTTCAATCTTTTCTCACTACTCTTGGCTTCGCTCTTTATTTTTCTCTCACTCTTTTTTCTTATGCTCAATTGATCCTCATATACTTATTGACGTGGTCTCATGAAGGGATGCATTAGAAATATGGAGTCACCACCTAGCTAATGGAGGAGAACTAGAAAACCCCAAACGTACTTATCCGTAAAGATATTTGAGTGAGGGATCGGATACGTATGGGAAAAATATAACATCATTGTCATTTCGTCTTACTCGAGGTAGGTCGCATTGAATGCATGTGAAAATAAAAATATATATTTTTGATGTGTTATGCTTTTATGCCCATTTGAGTGAGTTTATTTTGTTAGGATGTAAAAATAGAGTAATTTATGGTTCAAGGTAGTCTAAAGCCAATACCCCTCACTCAAAGAGGAAAGGTGGGGAAGGTTAGAATTTTGACTAATCTTTAGCGAACCCAACCTATGCCAATAAGTAAGTGAGTTTTAAAAAAATTAATGGTCTTTTATTGACATGAATAGGAAATCACCAAAAACTTCGCTAACACAAGTGGGAAGCTATCATCAACTTCGATCATGAGTTTGGAAAGATACCAATAACTTGATCACATAAGTAGGAAGCTAATGATAACTTTATTTGGCTCGAGTAAGGAGCAAATAACTAATTTGAAAGTCATTGGCAACTTCGTAACATAAGTGCGAAATCACTAGTGACCTATTTTCTAACAAACATAACACATGTAAAATAATTTTGAAAGCATCGGTGGCTTTATCATATAAGTGAAAAGTTATCAATAGTTTCATTTCCATAAATATTTTTTGGAGAAAAATAGTTTCGAGGCCATCGACAACTTTGTCCACATGGATGAGAAGTCATAGGTGTTCTATTTTTGAATGAACAAAACATATGTGAAATGATGTCAAAATCATTGATGACTTTTTCATATAAGTGAAAAAGTTACCAATAAAATTATTTTCACAAACAATTTTGAGAGAAAAATGGTTTTAGGGCCACTAACGACTTTGTCCATATACGTGAAAAGTTATCGATGGTCTATTTTCTAAGGAACGTAACACATGCAACATAACTTAAAAAAGATAATGAAATTAGATAATATGCTTTAGATATGACTCCTACACGTTTAGGTGCATTGCAACCAAGCATGTTAAATCAATCGAATCGCACTAAAAATGCAAATATTTAAATGGAGTAATTTATTCATAATCACAATTACAACAACATTCATTTCATTCACATTTAGGAATGAATATATAAATGAGATGCGATAGTTTTCATTCATATTTTAAAAGGGTATAATTATTTCGGAGGTTTTACCTAAAAGTGTTCGAAAGGTTCAATGGTCCGATTTGAGAGTCGGTTCTACTCTTTTCGTACTCGATGATAAGTGATTGTTCAATTAGTTAGGGCATAAGAGTAGTTACTCGTTGTCAAAATGTTATATGGGTCTTACTAAGGTGATCGAAGATTACTCTAAAGTCACCGCAAGTAGTCGAGTTACTACTCGTCACCAAAGTTATTGTAAATTTATCAAAGTTATTTACAAATTTATCACCATCT